TCTTACGACAGAATAATGATATGCCAAATAACTTTAAATATCCCAAATGATAGATTACACAATATTATACAACACATATTGCAAGTATATGTCGTGTAGCTAATTGTCAAACGATTCTATGGTGTCATGGTTATCATTTCCGCCTAACAGGCGGAAAGTCATCCGTTTAATCCCAGGTTAAACATTTGTTTTTAAATATATTTGTTATAGTATCTTTTCAGTTTCACTGTTCTTTGGGGCACTTTCTGAATCAGAAGGTCTTAGTTTTATTGTAATAGGGTGGGAGCGACGAAGGTTACAGTACAGCAAATTAAAGATCTCAGATTTATTCTGGTTTGAAAATAGCCAACAGGCAAAATGAGAAACATTACCATTTATTAGTGTTAGACGATAACACGGGAAAAATCTGGTCACTGAGGTATTTAAACGGCTGACTGACAATTATTTTGTCTTCTTCTATCTGGTGGTCACTCCTTCTTGCTACGGTCAAACGCCCTGTTGTCGTTGTCGACTGCACTTGGTCGCAATGCACAGGTGCGTCAGACTGGACTGGCCGAGCGACGCTAGATTGGCTGGGATCACGGCACGTCAGTTGGTTAGATTTGAGGACGGCCAACAGAACGAATTGTAACCCTGAGTCACGGTCAGGGGTGAAGTGGTAAGTGGCTCTTAGACCAGTTCTTTCCGTAGTGGGCGCTACCACTCCTTTGGGCATGCTGGGGCAGTTGAGGGTTGGAAGCTTTGTCGGTCAAATTTGTGAAGCGATGGAACAGGTGAGGGGCCTGTGAGAGTCTCATGTGCACTTAGGGGTAATGACTAACCATGCGCCTGCGGTTGAGACAAAGGTGAAGTTGGGATGGGAGAACAAAGAAGGTAAAGGGGCCAAAATATTCAAATATTCTGATGATCGGAAGACTTTTGTTGTGCTCGCTGCTCCGTGAAGTTTCTAGCAGTGGAGACAAAGATGAGGTAGCCAAGGGGAGAATACAATTGTCTTTTACTATCCCGTGCGAGTCTGGACAGTTAAATCTTGTTAGATGAAAGGAATTCATCCCCCCCCCCCCCCACAGTGTCCTTCGATCTAGTGAATTCCTCCTTGCTTATACTTGCTTAGTCGCTCGTCATCTACCTTAGGGTGTAGACATTTACCAGAGAGATCGCCAGACTTCTCTTTTGGCAGTTTTCTTTCTGGCTTTGTTCCATTCGAGTACTCTGGTCAGTCAGAGACTGTTGGATGTTGTCCTCCCAGTGAACCTTGGGTGTGCTGGTTCCCTGGTTCTTAGCCTTCCATGCCTGCATTGGTGGTCGAATTTCTCCCATTCTGCATACATGTCCAAACCATCGTAACTGTAACTGCTCCACTAGAGTTTGTAAGGCCTGGGTCTTGACTTTTGGTCTGACTGCAGACTCTGTCCTGTCACTTAGACCACCTTTCTCAGATTTCTCATTTCTGAGGCCTTACGTGGGCTTCTGTGAGCTGTGTTCATTGCTCATGACTCATGACCCGTAGGTCAATCCTCATCCTTGCTCCATAGCCATTATTTTATTAATTCATTTAATTTTCCCTGGGATTTCATTGGGTACGTGACTACAACCTCTCAGTCATTTTTCTCGCAGTTCACTCCCGAACATCACACTCCCTCATTTTTTTTTTTTATAAATCTTTAGCTCGACTTCCAGCCAGTGTTACTCGTTTGTCTAGTGAACTGAGGAGGAAGCACGCTTGGGTGTTCTTTTCAGAATACTCTAACAAGCCTTGCCTACTCCGAAGGGACCTAGCTCTCGACAGCAGCCTTACAAGTACCGCCTCTGCCAGCCAGCCACAGCCACAGCCACACGAAACCATGACTCGTGGCAAGAAGATCCCGACCCAGCACCGGGAAACCAGGTCGACCTCGGCCAAGAAGGCAGATGAGCCTGCCGCCGCACCAGCCCCAACGGTGCCGACAGTGCCAGAACCGGCCGACGACCTAGAAGAGACGCCATCCTCGCTCACCCAGACGCCGCCAGCTCTGGATGTAGGCCCTATCGAGGCACCCGTCTACCCAGAAGCCGCCCCAGTCGTGGCGCAGGAGCCAACTTACACCCGCCATGTCAGACAGCAGCAGCGACCGGGTACATACAGCACAGAGCTTCCTCAATGCTCACGCTGTAACAGGGCGTGGCATACCGCTTGCAACCTGCCGCAGCAGCCCATTGTGCCGCTACTGCGCTGGACCTCACAACTTTCAGGAATGCAGCCTTGCAAAGAAAGATACCGACTTCAAGAAGCCCAACCGTAACAGAAAGTGCTCCAACTGCGCAGGGAACCATAGCGCGAGGTACCAAGGATGCCCATACCTCAAAGACTGCAAGAGATCACTGACAACCGCCGCCACCAAACGCAACGCCCGCACAGAAAGAAGCCAGAGCTACCAGGCTCCCCGACCGAGAGACACCGCAGAAGCAAACAAAGTCCAGGCCGAGGTCTCTGCCCTAAAAAGAGAAATCGATGCCCTACGGGAGGAAAACGGCGCCATTAAAAAGAAACAAGACCTTGCAAGAGACGAAAACACCGAAATAAGGAGACTGCTACAAGAATCCCTAGAAACCCAGAAACGGCAGGAGATCGAGCTAGCAGACATGGGGAAATTCAAGTGCGACCTCCTAGCAGTCCTGACCGACCTCAAGAAACAAAAAGAAGAAAGCGCCGAGACCAGTCAGGCCGAAGCCGCAAATACAAAGAAAGCACTCGCAGCGCTAGAAGCGAAGATTTCAAAACTCAGCAAAGAAAGCATACAACTGGAAAAAGACATAGCATCCACCAATATTGTTATGGAAGCTAGAGAAGATGCAAGGAAGAGTGCAGTCAGAAGAAACCAATTACAAGCGGCTAAGAACAAGGAAACAGAAACCACTAAATCCGACGTAAAGAAGGTAGAAGTCCCAGAGGAACCAGAAGTCAGCGAGGCCAGCATCCAGGAAATGCGACAGAGGTACAACCAGATCATGCACCCTCACGCAATAAACTTTGTCCAGGGCGAATACAGAGTGCAGTTCTGCTATGAAACAATGCAAAAGGAGGGCCGATTACCGGTCGGACCACTTGGACCCAGACGACTGAGTTTCCTGGTTATGCGCGACCAACTTAATGCAGCCCATGCGCAACTATGTAAGGCGAAAAAACCTCAAGAACCGACCAAATAGTTGTGATTGCCGACGAAGCCCAGCAGACGAACCGACCGATTAAAGCCATCAGCCAACCAGAATTGACCTAGCCGCCATGACACCTGCCAAAACCCAGCTCACCGGACCGGAAAGCCCACCTGCGCAACAGTCCCGCCCACTCCCCTCAGCCAGACCTACGCCCACCCACCACCTCACAGGCCGTGCCAGGCATACCCCTCTAGTCCTTCTCAGGACTAGCAAACCACCAAGCCCGACTCAAGCCACAGTTGCATGAACAGCAAGGAATCCTACAACCAGACGAGAGACAACGTCACACCAAAGCAGTAAATCAAAAACCGCAAAGAAACCAGGACACAAATATAACCAAGCCCCTGAGGCAGGTTGAAGCTGTCCAAATTTTTTCCTTTTTTTTTGTTTCTCAAACGCAAACGCAAACGCATCTAACATTTAGATCCTCTGGTTACACTCAGGTGCCTCAATCTCTCCAGGTCATCTTCTCTCTCTCTCTACTGATTCGGTTGATGGTTCCCAAAGGGCTTTGACCACATCTGCCTTGTCATGTATCAATTCACCAGTGGTGCAGAGCTAGCCAATCCGTCTGCTTGCTTATTACCCACCACGCCGGCATGGCCTGGAGAAATGATACAAAGTATACCCACTACCTGTGACCTTTTTACCCATTTGCGTCATCGTTACAAATAAATTTCACCAGGCGTTCTCTTAACATCTGAGTTTTCCGGTGCCTTCCGCTGGCATATTTATTTTCTACTACTGTATAGCAACGGCCTGTTTTAATATCCCCAGCTAGGGCTGGCGTTCATTTTCGTAACGTTATTTCTGAATATGCGCTTAACCTTGACAACATTCTGCTTCCTCTCCAAGTCTCCCGGGAAAGCTCGGTGCAAACAACTTCCAGACGTCTTGTTCTCAGAACGCATTATGCAATACTTTAAAGAGATGTGGGAATCTTTCGAAGAAGTGCAATTCTAATTTACACGTCTTATTTCTCATTTACCCGTCTGTCCTTTGACATTTCATAAATAACTTTTCCTCAGCATTTGCAAACTTATACAATTATGTTATACCCACCCCTCCCGTTTTTTGTTTCAGAGATATTTTATGTGATGCAAAAATTTAGGCAAATTGAAAAGAAAAAAAAAGTTGCAGTGTGTGTGTGTGTGGGGGGGGGGGGGGGGGGGGGGGGGGGAAGAGAATTGTTCTTATCAGGATGTCTGTTTACATTTTTTTTTTTTTCGCAATCAAAGTTGGATCAACTTAAAAATAGACGGTGTCAATTTTCGCAAATATACGAGGAAAAGATCTCAATTATCCTTATCTTCTTCTTCTTAGGGGAAGAGGAAGAAGAGGAGAAATAGGAAGAGGGGAGATGAAGGAAGAAGAATAGCAGGAGGAGAAGGAAGATGGGGAAGAATAAGAAGAAGAAGAAGAAGAAGAAGAAGAAGAAGAAGAAGAAGAAGAAGAAGAAGAAGAAGAAGAAGAAGAAGAAGAAGAAGAGGAAGAATATGAACAACAACAACAACAATGACACACACACACACAAACTAACAAGAAAATAGAGAACAAGAAGAAAGGTGGAAAGGAATGAGAGTAGGTGGAAAAAGAGAAGTGGAGGTAGAAGAGGGAGAAAAAGGAAGAGGATAAGAAAACTAAATTATTTTTAATCCCTAACTTATAAATTATGTCTTAGCAATAAATGGCCCTTAACTCTTCATACGTTGTTTCTTCCCGTTTCAACAGTTTTATCGCTGGTAGCCAGTATCTTCACTTTGACGGTCATTGCCTGTGATCGCTTCTTCGGCATCGTCTTCTCGATGAAGGCACACTTCATTGAGCGACGCGCTAGTGTCACCATCATCTTTATATGGGTGTTGTCCATCATCGTGGCGTCTCCTCTTATATACTACAGACGCTTCCATGAGGTAGGTAGTATAAGTTGCGTATCCTTTACAGGACGTTGCAGAGCCAACCCAGCATTTTTTGTTTCTGCTGTAAGATTTTTTTTTTTTTCTAAGCAAATGTTACGTTCAGTAGTTTACCACTGTTTTCTGTACGGTCAGCTCCCGGTGTCACTGTCAAAACAGGGCAAGACAAATCGTCCTTAGTTAGGTTCAAACCCAGCACCGCGGTATTACGAAGCGCGTTCGCAACGCCAAAGCCACAGTAATTTAATGAGCGTTCATTCGAGCACCGTTTAAACGGCTTGATTAGAAAAGCATCAAAGTAACATCAACAGGAGTGGCAGAATTAAACAGAGCATTCATTAATTTTGAATGAATAATGACCTTCAGATCAACATTGTTTAAGTCGCCACTAATTGTTGACATCACGAGGGCTAATACACTGCACAGGTAGGTGCATATGGATTGGCAGATAACAGCGAGACAAATACTGCTTGCACAAAAAGAATTGATTGACAGAAGACTACAAGACAGACCAAGAAGACTATGGACATATAGTATACAGGCAGACCCACAAACCATCGGAAAAAGAAAGCCAGTCACAGAGATTAAAGAAGGCGTGTGATATCTGCAGCAATGAATCATACTTATTTTAAAGGATTAAAATGCTGAAGAAGAAGAAGAAGAAGAAGAAGAAAGAAGAAGAAGAAGAAGAAGAAGAAGAAGAAGAAGAAGAAGAAGAAGAAGAAGAAGAAGAAGAAGAAGAAGAAGAAGAAGAAGAAGAAGAAGAGAAGAAGAAGAAGAAGAAGAAGAAGAAGAAGAAGAAGAAGAAGAAGAAGAAGAAGAAGAAGAAGAAGAAGAAGAAGAAGAAAAAGAAGAAGAAGAAGAAGAAGAAGTAGAAGAAGAAGAAGAAGAAGAAGAAGAAAAAGAAGAAGAAGAATCAGCTCTCGACGAATAATATAGTCAGCATCACGCCAACTAATTTTTACCTTCTCTCTTCCTTGTCTATTATTATTATTACTATTATTATTACTACTATTATTATTACTATTATTATTATTATTACAACATCGACACTCACCAATGTTACATTTTATGACTCATTAAGAGGCTGAACAGAACAGACAAAACAACAGATCGCTCAATTAATTGCTTCGCATATGACGCTGAAACATAAGTGAACAAGATTAGGCAAATGAATTAATCCTTTACCTGAAATAGAAAATTCCACCTATCGTAGATGAAAAGATTCATTTGTTTGTCTCGCCTGAGTTAATTCTGTTACTGTATTATTAATCCAACAAACCAGGGCAAAAATACCAGGCAATAAATCATCACAGGCAATAAACATGTTTCCACCCTCTTTGTTAAGATGTAAAACAGGCAAATACGCCATTGAGACCCTGGTGGCGGAGGAGCTAGGTACTTGCCTGCGGAGTCAACGGTCTGAGGTTCGACTTCGCAGCTGTATCCATTTACCTTGACCACTGCCACTGATCACTACTGACCACATAGACACATAGAACCCTTATCCTAGTGGCGTTGAACGTCATTCAGTCCCGAAATGCTCCTCTCCACCCTCACTTATAATAACAATAAATAACGCTGTATATTAGTTACCACTACCACCATCCCCACCATTACTTACCACTACCACCATCCCCACCATTGCTTACCACTACCACCATCCCCACCATTACTTACCACTACCACCATCAACACCATTACTTACCACTACCACCATCACCACCATTGCTTACCACTACTACCATCCCCACCATTACTTACCACTAAAACACTCCCCACCATTACTTACCACTACTACCATCACCACCATTACTTACCACTACTACCATCCCCACCATTACTTACCACTACTACCATCACCACCATTACTTACCACTACTACCATCCCCACCATTACTTACCACTACTACCATCACCACCATTACTTACCACTACTACCATCATCACCATTACTTACCACTACCACCATCACCACCATTACTTACCACTACCACCATCCCCACCATTACTTACCACTACTACCATCACCACCATTACTTACCACTACCACCATCCTCACCATTACTTACCACTACCACCATCCACACCATTACTTACCACTACCACCATCAACACCATTACATACCACTACCACTATAATCACCATTACTTACCACTACTACCATCCCCACCATTACTTACCACTACCACCATCCCCACCATTACTTACCACTACCACCATCAATACCATTACATTCCACTACCACTATAATCACCATTACTTACCACTACTACCACCCCCACCATTACTTACAACTACCACCATCAACACCATTACATACCACTACCACAATAATCACCATTACTTACCACTACTACCATCCCCACCATTACTTACCACTACCACCATCAACACCATTACATACCACTACCACTATAATCACCATTACTTACCACTACCACCATCCCCACCATTACTTACAACTACCACCATCAACACCATTACATACCACTACCACTATAATCACAATTACTTACCACTACCACCATCCCCACCATTACTTACCACTACCACCATCCCCACCATTACTTACCACTACCACCATCCCCACCATTACTTACCACTACCACCATCACCACCATTACTTACCACTACCACCATCACCACCATTACTTACCACTACCACACTCCCCACCATTACTTACCACTACCACCATCCCCACCATTACTTACCACTACCATCATCACCACCATTGCTTACCACTACCACACTCACCACCATTACTAATACTGCTATTATTACTGTTACTTTTACCATTTACGCCACTTCTATTCACACTAATGCTGCTGCTACCACTACTAATTCTTCTGCTATCACGTATACTTAAACTACACACACTGCCAATTTTCATAGTATTACTACAGTATACTGTCTCAGTATAATATAAATATCAACCTCTCCTCTTCTTACCCATCTTCCTACCTCTCCGTCTTCTTCGCTTACGTCTTTGCCTCCTTCGACTTCTTACAGTAGCAAGGGACACTTATCATCATCGCAACATAAATGTTCCCCCTCTAACGCTTCATTGAATGGCTTCCTCAGGAGCATTGGCAAAACCTGGTAGAAAGTTGGTGTGATGATGATTGGCCTGTTGACGTCTGGCATGACCCGGTGACGGGTCAGGTAGTGTCCAGCACGCCAGCACGCAGGTTCTACTACCTGTTTGTGTGTGTGGCCCTGTTTTTTCTACCGTGCCTGGTCATGTCTGTGGCCTACCTGGTGATTATAGTGACCCTCTGGTCAGCCCAGGTTCCGGGAGAGAGGATCAGTAAGGATATCACATCCCAGACGAAGATCCGGAAAAAGGTTAGACTTTGTATTTGTATAATACTAAATCGTGTACATATGTGTAAATGAGAGTGGACGGGAAAGAGATATGAGGGAGGGAGAAAGTGTGTGAGGGAGAGAGAGAGAGAGAGAGAGAGAGAGAGAGAGAGAGAGAGAGAGAGTGAATGAGAGAGAGAGAGAGAGAGAGAGAGAGAGAGAGAGAGAGAGAGAGAGAGAGAGAGAGAGAGAGAGAGAGAGAGAGAGCAAAGTAACGAATTTTTTTATTTTTAAATAGGTTAAGATCTGCCTAACATTCTTCTTTTCTTACCTCACTACCTTCAGGCTTCGGCTGGGGGGGGGGGGGGGGGATGGGGAGTGTGGCCTGAGTGGTCTCGAGGTGTGGTGTCTGCCTCTAGGGGTGGAGGTCCCGGGTTCAAGCCACGATGAAGGCTGGAATTTTTTTCACGTGGACTTCTAGTAATTTCCTCTGGTCTCTAGGTAGTAAGATCGGACGCCCGTGTATATTCTTGCGCACGTAAATAATCCCTTGGCAGTTGAAAATGGAAAAGAGTAGCCTAACGGCACTGCCCAGGCAAAAACATTTGGAGTTAAAAATCTACCCCAAGTATTTCAGCATCCTGTTCTGTGCAACATAGTTGGTGCACTGCCCTGAGAAACTTTACACTCAGGCTTGAGTTAGAAGTAGAACGGAGCACCTATGGGTTACACCCGTGTGCCATGAAGTTGATCCGTCTCATAAATATAAATATAAACATTCCTAAATTCACTCATTTTCTTGTCATGGTATCCTCCCAGAACTTAAGTTCTTCAGACAAAGCCTTTTTACAGATCTGCCTTATTTTATGTGCAGACAGCTGGTTTCTCACGTCTCATGCAGATGTACTTCATCTTCGAAGGAAACAACCTAGTTAGTCGCCTTTTATTACATTCTTTGGGTGGGGGTTGGGGGGGGGGGGGGGAGAATACTTTTTTTTCAGTTCCTGAATGCTTCGCGGCGACCGGGTAGAAAGAGATCTGTGGAACGGGCCCTTCTGTTCGCTTCGTTTGAAGTACTTTTCTGTGTCCCTGATATTTCTGCGATCCATGTTCTGCGTGGCCGATCTCTGGATCAGTTACCATTGTATCTGTATAACATTGCTCTTTGTGGGGCCCTGTCTGATGCCAATCTTGTTACATGGCCAAACCATTTGATTTGTTGTCTACCTAAAAACTTCTGTATTGGTTCTGTGCTGACTCTCCTCCTGATATCACCGTTCCTAAGTCGATCTTACCTTCTTACACCAGCATAGTACGTAAACATTTAGAGGTATTCTTTTTTCCCTTAATAACGGGGCCCCGGAACCCACATAGGGAGGCTATATAGGGTTAACCCAGAATATTTTTTTTAAATAAAACAATTTTCTTTCCACTGGTAATATGAACGATATCTCGCCTACCGTTCCTCGCTTCTAAGAACTAGTACTTACATTTAGAGTGGATCACATGTACGCCCATCTCAGTTACAATTCAGCGAAAAGAAACCACCGGCGGGACAGAACACTGTATTAGACACTGCCCTTGAATAACTAGATCTGAACATCAGGAATAACTGGCTAATAAACAGCATCTTGTCTCAGAAAAACTGAAATATTTTGGCAATATCACCCGCAACAGCCGATTGAAAAGTTAGTGGGAGAAGGCATGGTGCCTTGAAAGAGGGACAGGGGGGCGATCATCGTGGGGATTGGCACAGGATGTAAGTGGCACATTGGGTAGGAAAATGTACAAGAAGGGAGATCTGGCGCGAGACCGACTGTCTTTCAAATGTCATAGAAACGACGTTCTGTAAAGGACCTGCGACACGGTGATGAAACGGAACCAAATGATGATGTTAAATGAACGATTCGCTTAGTTTTGTTAGTCCATCTGAAATATATCTCATGCATTAACCGGGCGCATCAGGAAAGCAAAGAATGGTACCACGGTAACTTCCCAATGCAGGTCCTAAGAAACGCCTAAGGTGAGGTGGCAAACTCAGGGTTCGGCAAATCGCGGCTCGCGAGCCGCATGCGGCTCTTTAGCGACCCGTGGGTGGCTCGGTCAGTCAGCCACAAATCGTTTTGGACTTTTTAAAAAACAAGGTCTTGACCTATTTTTGATAAGAAATTTGGCCCTCAAAACAACTTTAATCGTCCTGCTGCATATTAGTGGCTCTTTCGACTAAAGGGATGGCCGACCACTGAGCTAACTTAGCCAGTACACAGTTTTAGCTGCAAAAGGATATTCACTGGTTTCTCCGCAAACAACTGGCACAGTTATGACAGTAGAACTCTAAAGACCTTACTGTCATCAAATATCATTTTGTGAAGCCAGCCTCCGTTTGTGCAAGGTTTTCCAAATGAAGTTGAGTCAGGTCCACGTTTCCCAACCAGGGAGGGGGGGGGGGGGTGAACAATTTAATCAGGGAAAATTGTAAGACCAACATGTTAAATGCAACTTTGAGATCACGACCAGACAGTTAGCAGGTCTGGCTTAAAAAGTTCAAGCCAACAGAAACGCTATTTGTGTGGTGGAAAGTGACTTTTAACATTATTAGGCGGCGTAGCTGGTAAAATTGTGGCGGTTTTAGTCGAAGCACAAACGTCAAGGAAAAAATATATCGGGGAAAATGTAAAAACTGTCACATGGATTGTGGGTGATCATTTGTGTTACTACTGCTGCTGCTGCAGCGGCGGTGGCTACTACTACTACAACTGGTACTACTACTACTGCTGCTGCTAGAGAGTTTTTAAATGTCCTTTTCAAATTCAGCTGCGATAAAACTCTATAAATACTTGTAGTCGAAGCTATTATACTTCCCTGGTCCTGATGCAGTGCGTCAGATTCTTGATTTGTCGGAGCAGGATGAGAACATAGAAAATCCAGCCGACAAGGTTGCTTTTGTTAACGACGGTTTGGAAATCCTATCGAGTAGGCACACTGTTACTGTGTACAGTACGCAAATTGTACAGTGTTCAAATCACATAGATTATGCTAACAGTAACAAGTGCGCAAGTAGGCTAATTGTATATAGTAGGCAAATAGTATGGGGTAGGCAAATCGTATGGAGTAGGCACATGGTAAAGATTATGCAAATCATAAAAAGCCGGCTAACAACAAAGAGACGGTAAATCTATCGTGTAGGGAAATCGTCTGGAGCATATCGTGGATTTTCTGTCCGGCACATTCGGGGGGGGGGGGGGGGGATAAAAGCAGAAGGCACGGTGCCAGGAAGAAAGGGCAGGGGCCAACCAACACGACGATGGGCACATAACATAAGTGACTCTTTGGGTATGACAGTGCACAAGGCAGGAGAGCTGGGGAGAGGCCGAGATTCTGTCAGGCACAACGATGGGAGCGAAGTTCTGCAAAGAACCTGCTACATGATGATGTGATCCATATACATCGAGTTGCTCGTGCAAAATGAACAAAATCAGTGGGTGGCAAAGTTGGCACGACCCATTACCGACCGAAACACATCCTACCTCTTCGCGATTGTTGAAAAGTTTTACAATGGCTGTGCTGTTCTAAGCTATAATTACATGTTTCAAAGAAATTGTAAACGTTTGTTTAGGACTCTAAAACTATGAATCAGTAAAACAAGAATAACATTTGAATATATGATCTGTAATACAGATATTGAAAACAGGAAACAAGTCATAATAAAAAATGGCACCAGCTCATGGAGAATGGTAAGGAGAAAGTCTGTTTTGGGAAGTTACAGAGTTGAATGTTGAATTTGGAATCGACATCACAGCACTTGGGACACCCCCATAAGCTCTCCCTCTTCATCTTCAGCAGGAAGCAAAGAGTTAAAATTCCGATGGTACCAGTAGCTGTCTGATTGTATATCCATCTCGCCTTTTCCCCGAGTGTCGAGCGTTGGCCAGATCGTTTTGTAACTCCTCGCAGTGAAATTCTCCTCAGACCGTAATGATCTATCGGTTCCTTGGCACTGTTCACTCGCTCCCAAAGGGCCTTCACAACATCCAGGTTGTCATCCATATGTTCACCACCAAGTAGTGTAAAACCGACCAATCTATCTGCCTGCTAATCTACCGACCCACCTGCATAACCTGGAGAAAATATCCAAAGGGTGCTAACTACCCGGTGCTCTCGGATATTGAAAGTTGCGAAGAATTTTTAAAGGGCTTTTTATGCCGAAATGATCGAATTCATTGCACCTCTATCAAAACACAGAGGGGATGTTCGTATGTCAGAAGCGTCCAGTTTAGCGCTAAATTAGGCATCTCCAGTGACGATCAGAAATTATAACTCTTTCAGTATGGTGCAACTTAACACACGTTCTTCGATTACTCTATATGAGATACACATTTCGTTGTTATTCTTCTACACACAATATTCATCCCTCTCGTCCTTTTTAGGATGAAATTTTCGTTATTTGAAGCCCTACTCTGGCTTTTGCCAGGGGCCGCAATATAGCCTGGCCATAAATATGGCCTAAAGGCTGAAAGCGGTTTCTGAGACCTCTCCACTGTGATCCTCACCCACATGGTGGCACATTGTGTCATCGGGTGTTTATCGCTTGTGTTATGTCCTTGTGGGGTAGAAAGTCAGTCAGATACATTTCAGGTTTTATTCTCTCTCATTGTTCTGTTACATTCGTCTATTCAACTCCCGCTGTGACTTAACATCGTTTTGTCCTATAGCTTATCAGTTTAACTCATTAAGACTCGTAGATTGTTTCTATAACACACTATGGAATATACATTTTCAAAAAATAAACACCTGCCTGGGCTTCAGAAGATAATCAACCACCCAATCAGAAAATGGGGAAGACCAAGAGAGAACCTGCGGAGAACCATCAACAGAAAAAGGTCAACAATGGGCCTCAAGAACATCTAAGACCAACAACAGGTGGCAACGAACCGCAAGACATGGAGAGCTATGACCTTTGCCCTGTGAGAGGCTCTGGACTCAAGAGGAAAGAGTACGACTAGGACACGACCTTCCTAATGAATGAATAAATCAATTAATTA